GAACTGGACCATCTGTCAATGCTATACGGAGCTGATTCTGAATATGTCTGTAATAATCTGGATCCTATCATTGGAGTTTGTTGATGGCTTCATGCGTTGGAGCAGGAAGTCTTCTTGCTTGCATTTTGAATGAAGGTGTTCATTCCATTGAGGTTGAGCAAGTAGAACATTTACTTGAATTGTTCAGGAAATGTTACTCTAATCCTTTTCCCTCTATTGTCCATCTGGGTGGAATTCTTGGAGTCGTTAATGCTTTGGGGGCAGGTGCTGGAAATTTGATTTATGTTCTTCCTCTATCCCCAGCTTCACGTGATGTTAATGAAGAAAAGGTAGTTGTATTTTGCTGTTTCTGTTAGATCAAATGTTTGCTTTTGTACTTGTCTATATATTTAATTATTCATATCCTTTCTCAGCAGGGACATTCTCATATTTTGGGTCCTCTACTTTCAAGTCTTGCTTGCGAACAACGTTTGACAACATTAGTGCAAGAGATGTTTCTTCTTGCGCAGAATTCTGATAACCATCAACTGCAACAATATGCTGCATGGGGAATTTCATTTCTTAGATATTACTTGTGGTCGAAAGAACTACCAGGTCTTGATAGTAGCCAGGCAGATGTTGCTCGCACAAAATCTGTTCCTCAAAGTGTTCCTGATGACAGTGTAGTCATGAAGCTTGGTCAATGGCTAAAGTATCTGAATTTTTCTCGGGTAGGTCTTCTACAACAACAAACAAATTTATATTTATAGAATAGTTTCTCATTTATGTACTTTCCGTCCCCCAAACCCCAAGAAAAGATGAAAAAAAGAAAAGAAAGTATCGATAATTTTGGTATTCTTCATCTCACTTTTCAATGATTCTGCACTTTGCATCAAATTTTTCAACTTAATCACCAGTCACTAGGAGGCTCCAAGTTGGTTCTTTTTACCACAAAATGTTGTTATTGTACCCATAAAATTCTTCTATTAGCCGAAGAAGTAATTGTGGAAGAATGAATTGTTGTTATCCTTGAATAAGGAGGTCTTGTATATATTTATTCTCGAAGTAATAAAAGGAAACCTACAATTAGTTACATATATGAGTATTTTGCTAATATATCCTTTACTTTACTAACACAAATATACACTTTCCAACATTCCCCCTCAAGTTCGTGAATAGATATTGTTCATTCCTACCTTGGCAATTCTCGCTTGGAACCCTAGATTATTTAAGTGCTCGTTAGTACGTCTGCAAGTTGAGAATTGGCAAGCATTTAAAGTGTCAATATCAAACCATTATGTAGTTTTTCTTTAATAAAATGTTTGTCAACTTTAATATGCTTGGAGTTTTGGGTCCTTTGGTAAGAAAAAAAATAACCGTGTTTTTGAAGGAAGAGAAGCTGATTTTGGTATCATCATTGGCAGCTGCCTACATTATTGTGGGTCTACTGTGTTAGGCCATAACTTGGACAATGATAGTTTTGACGAACTTAGTTTCGTTGTTGATAATTTAATCAATTTGTAAATTTTTTGTATACTGGTGGTGCCCCCTTAGCACATTCACATCAATACAAATTCAGATTTTTATTTCAAAAAAAAAAAATGCTTAGAGTTCTGTTGTGTCGTGTTGGATTGTGAGTGATGCTGATTGTTGACTTGTTATCACAGTAGAGCCTCATAAGACTATTCCATTAATCTTTAAGTCTTCCAGAATTTTCTTTAACTATAGTGGCTCACATACTTTTTGTCATTGTCCGGAATTCTGATTCTGCAAGACCTTGCTACCACATTTTACTTTTTGCTTCTCTATGTGACTAGATTTCCTCCAAGGAAGATGCAATTAGTGGTGGATATTCTGTTTATTACTGATTGCGCATAATTTGCATCAGTGTTGGCTTCGAGAAGTAACCTGTTGTTCTTTCTGAATATGATACTTTTTTTTATGTCCCCTTCAAGTGGTGTAGCACTTAGTATGCGGCCTATAAATGCACTTCTTTAGGATTGTGGATAAATTGGCTTATTACATTCATTGCACACGTAATATCTTTTCTCGTGTGTGACAAACAGATCAATCTTCCAACTAGCCTCTGGTACATCTCCTTATTAACTCCTATGTCTTCCTCTACTAGTCCCAATAAATGATCGGGATCAATTAGTGTGCTAGCTGGTTTGCATGCTAGGTTACCTGTGTCCTATATATCTTTATCTCATACGCAAAAGTCACATTTCTTCAGTAAGCTGTGCTGATTAATCTTCATCTCATGTTTTGAATTCTTAAATTCAGACAGAAAGTATGGCAGATGTTGGTACAGGAAAACTGTTCTAAGATGAGATTCAACTCCTCATAATAGTTCCAACTACAAAGATAGGCAATTTAAGGAACATAGCAAAATCAAATATAGACTTTATTATGGATG